TCTGTAGGCAATTGGACATCCCCTTACAGAAGGGTCTCGGGGAGGAGACGAGCCAGTCAGGGTGCAATGTAGCAATGATGAAACATACAATTTTCCTCTAGTTCCTAAGTGCTTCCTCCCCCACTATCATGATCCCTATTCTACCTTACAAATCTGGCTAGACCACAGGATGTACACTGGTACAGATAGGAACTGGAAACACAGGGAATCCAGGACAGATGATCCCTTGAGGACCAGTGCGAGAGTGGCGATACCGGGAGGGTGGAGAGAGGGTGGGGTGGAAAGGGGGAACTGATTACAAAGATCTACATATAACCTCCTCCCTGGGGGATGGACAACAAAAAGGGGGTGAACGGAGATGCCAGACAGTGCAAGATATGACAAAATAATAATTTATAAAGTATCAAGGGTTCATGAGAGAGGGGAAAGCGGGGAGGGAGGGGAAAAATGAGGAGCTGATGCCAGGGGCTTAGGTGGAGAGCAAATGTTTTGAGAATGATGAGGGCAATGAATGCACGAATGTGCTTTACACAATGTATGTATGTATGTATGTATTGTGATAAAAGTTTTATGAGCCCCCTAATAAAATGATTTTTTAAAAAAAGAAAAAAAATCTACAGCATTGATTCTCAACCTTCCTAATGCCGCAACCCTTTAATACAGTTCCTCATGTTGTGGTGCCCCCACCCCCACCCATAAAATGATTGTCGTTGCTACTTCATCACTGTTAGTTAGCTACTGTTATGAATGGGGTGACCCCTGTGAAAGGGTTGTTTGACTCCCAAAGGGGCCGGGACCCAGAGGTTGGGAACTGCAGGTCTACAGCCTCTACAGAGACCCTCCGCAGGGCTGCTCTGAGTTGGGACTGCACTCTTTGTCTAGCTGAGGAAAGTAAGGTGGTCAAGTATTTGGTTAATGTCAGTTTATGAAAAATGAAAACATATTTACTAGAAAGTTTTCACTCACTCATTTACTTGTTTCACCAATATTTCTTGAACACCTGCTGTGTGCCAGGCCTCTGTTAGACATGGACAGATAAAGCAATGAGCACAATAGATACAGTCTTCGCACGCAGGCTCGTCAGGAAACCTTGCCATTAAACAAACGCAGGCATACATCAGTCAGCAGGTAAGACAAATCAAATCAATCGAGGGAAAGGTCCCTATCTTTCAGTTCACTCATGCAACTGTGGTCTCCGACAAGGGAGACCACAGTTTTGATTGCCTGAAGTTTTATTTGTCCGGTGAAAGAAGTTCAATGACAATTAGGAAACACAGCAGGTCTATTAACACTAAATTGTTATTTCTGAATGTATCTGTGTGGAAAGTAAAATGGACAATGGCTTTATTTTTTTTAAAGGAAAAAAATGCTGGTATCTGTGTTATTCCTTCAACTCAAGGCAGCTTCTGAGCAATAAACGGCCACTCTGGGTTAATGGTCATTGGCTTCATGTTCAGCCTCAATTAAACTCTGAACTTCAATGGTTATTACTTAATTGACTTGGTCATATTTCATGTCAGCATTTCAAAATGACCTTCCTTTTAAAAAATAACAATTACCCTGACATAGCACCAGGGGTCTTTAGCTGAGCCATGCATTGTTACTGAGGCCCTGCACTATCTTTATATATGGCTGGGCCTAGAATTTGCTTAGCTTTGCTATCACTAAGGTACCTCCCATCATCCTTGCCTATGACAGGAGACAGCTCCAGATAAATCCACGTGAGGCAGGAAAAGGGGCGAAAAAGTAAATACATCTGTGGCCGGAATGACTATGAAAACACCAGGTCAATCCACCGAGACCTGGTTTGTTCCCAGGCACAAGGGGTAACACGGTCAATATGACAATGAAATACTGTCAAGTTGTGCTTATTTCAAAATACTGCTCTCTGTAGCTATAGTCTCCTTGACATTCAAGTAACTGCAAGTGGGTTATTCTAGTTGAGCTAGATGAAAATGTAAAACCTCATTTACTTATTGTGCATGAAACAATCAGAAGAGAAAGACGTAAAAAACCCAAACCAGGGCTTTATAGAAAGTATGAGACCACAAGTTTACTTTGTGGTACGGAAACCAATTGAGGTATCAGATGAACGGTCCCCCACCCCCCTATTGTGGAGAAGCTTAAAAATCTTTTTGAAGCACTTTGATCAAGCTTTGAGAATATTTTGGTGGATTACTATTGTGTGAAAACTGTAATTTATAGTGCTTGACCTCGCAGCTCTTTGTCTAACAGCCATATCCAGACAATAGCAGGAAATCGAGAAACACAAGGGCAGTCGAAGCTGTTCTGGTAATTATTGAATTTAATACATAATTCCATTTTCCTTACTTCGCCTTTGGAATCCTGGCATGTCCTTAATCAAACAGGTTCAGACTGCCTGTATGTGTTTGCTACAGATAGGGAATCTAATTTTGAGTTGCATGTTTAGATGATCCCAACTTTGTGTCACGTGTGCCCTTTCCTTAACGGAAGAGTGACTTCATACAGACAGGGCCAGAGAGAGGCTTCGTCTGTGTAAAGCGACATTGCTGGCCTTTTAGATCCTTGTCTAGTTAAGGTTGCTTTGTTCCTGAACCCTAATCAAGAGCGTGCCAACTGGGAGCTTTTTCTCTTTGCCTTGTAACAATGTGCTTCTACTTTAAGGCAACTTGTTCCCATTGCCCCACATGGGAAATGGCAAGCTGCCTCTAAATAGAATGAGCTAGGAGTGATTGTCTACCTACATCATGCGGATGTTATACTACTTTTATGCATACTTCTAACCAAGTGAACAGCACACTGCCTGCAAGTAGCTGGAAAACCTCCAATGTGGGGATGGGGGGTGCTGAGGGTGAGGGGATTGGGCCACTTTCGCCAAACTACTTGCCAAAAGGAGACCTGGGGATGCAGTGGTCAGGGGCTTGGCTGAGGAGCAAAAGGTACGAGGAAGAAAGATGCAACAGCTTCTGAATCTGCAGCCTTGGGAAGCCCTACTCTGGCCGGTAGGGTCACCAGGAGTCGGAATGGACCAGCAGGTCGAAGTAGACCTTGACCGCAGGCACAGACCACACACAATACTGAAATGCTAATAACTGCGCTTTCAGGAATAGGACCTGGCAGGTGCCACACATGCGTTTGGATCCTCTGGCACATGGAGAATGCTTGTGATCTGCTTTCCCCGAAGAGATTAGGCCAAGCGTGCCTGAATCCCCTTCCCTCCACCCGTGTCGATCGGAACCTAGATGGGATGCATTTTGGTCCCAGCATCATTTTCTAGAGAGAAAAAGAGCTGAGTAGTAGCGAGAATAAAAGTGCAATACATGTCCCCGTGGAAGGAAACCCGCCAAGGCTCGTGAAGGGAAGCAGGGAGCTGTCATACAATGGAAACAGCAGGTCTACAAATGGGTAAAAAGAGCAGACGGCTAAGGTATCTTGGTTGCAAAGAAGAAAGGAAACAATGGGAGTAGCTCCCCAGTGAGAGGCGAGTGAATTAACTGTTCACTTCAGGCTGTGCATTAATTAGGGTACCCCCCTCTCCCCCGGGACCATTTAGTAGATTACCTCATCCAGGGTTCTAAACAATCCCCTGGTGGCTTGAATGAGTTCATGCAACACCCCCCCACCCCGCCCTCTGCCCCCAAAGACCAACAAATTATCTTCCTTTCCAGGGTGGCATCAAGCTTGTAGATAATGAGCAGGTGCACACACCTATGGTGAAAAGAAAATGATTTCCCCCGGAGATCTCCGCTTTCTGCTTTGGGCCCCTGAGCCTCCACTTGTCTATGTGATCTTAAGAGAATTTTAGAAGACTTGGCAGATACATCACTGGATGGCAAATGAACAGAAGGAGTGTGTGTGCGTGTGTGCACATGTGTGCGCGTGTGTGTGCGCAGGGAGGGCTGTCCATGACACCAGACTAAATGTCACCCATGCCGGATCAGCTTTGTTTGGAGAGATCCTCTACCTGATCCAAGCAGGTCGTCTCCGTTTGTGAGATGGGCTGTTTGGCAAGTCTATCTAGCACGCTTCCTGTATCCACATGGTTCCACTGGCCAGGTCACTGTGGGACAATCAGTCTTCGGTGACACTTCAGTGGCTGCTCCGCAGCTTCCAGGATACACTTTGGAAGTGGTTCTGTGGGGGCCTGCTTCCTCCCCCGTGACCCACGTCCCTGGCTCCTTCATCTCTGCCCGGTGACTCCTGTACTTGTGTGGCTTCTGGTTAGAGGCAGACAGGATGGTTTATGCCATTTGAAACCACAGGCCGAGGTGAGTGAGCCAGGATGTGCAGCCTGGAGGGGACAGTCTTACCTTCCCCAAGGGGCGTTCTTACTCTCCTCGGCAATGTCAGCCCATCTAGGACTGCCGGCCCTCGCACAACGAACTGTGCAAGTGAATCTTGAGGCCTACCCTAGAGTCCTGCGTCTTTTCTGCGCCCCTCTGCTGCGTCTGCCAGACTCCCGAGTGACAGGCAGCTGCAGTTCCGCTCACCTGGTGACACAGCAGCCATTCCACTGGCGGCCTGGCCGGAATTTGGAGGAGGCCGCCGCTCACCAAGTGCGTGAGTTAAAGGCCCCAGGCCTCCAGCTGCCTGCATCCAAGACTTCGGACAGGGGTGGGATAAGAAGGATGCATGATTTGGGACTCAGGAGGGAAGCAACCTTTACTCAAGACGCCAGAGTTCTTACCTAATTTCTTCCAATTGCTGGAAATGTGCACCGTGGGTGGGAGCCTGAGAGTCAGTAAGTGCGGAGTAGGGGCAAATGGCGGAGAGAACAACAATTCCTTTTACAACAGTTTTGTTTACACTCCTGCTTCCTGGCTTCACAGGAATCATTCTTTAGCACAGTTTGGAGGATGCTCCATCAGACAAGGCTGGTTTTACTGTTAACACACTAATGAGTACAGCAATAAAAAATAAAGAACAAAAGGTTGCCCCATGACTGCTTTCTTAGAGATGATATTTATATTGTCTAACCCCCGCGCCACCCCCCCCCCCAAAGCAAATAAACAATCTGCTCACAGACAACAAGTGGTTTTAATGTATACGAACAAGGGGTCTCTAATCATCTGGGCTGGGAATATTACTCTCTTTCCGCTCACCCTCCAGTCCAAAAGTCAAAGATACAATAATCCCATTAGCTTCTGTGTGGAAAACAGCTTCACTTTGAACAAGTTGTAATGTATTGCAGCCTATCGTTTGCTGGTTTTCTTCCCCTGTGTAAGGGCCAAATCTTCAGGCCTCATTCCTGAACAGGAGGGGATGCTTCTGCAGGAAAACACCAGCCAGCACCTCCTCACGATACATCGTCAGGGCACCGCCTGGATAACTACCAAACGCAAGCACTTGAAAAAAATTGTTTAAATTTGTGAACTCTCATTATAGATTCGCTTAATGTAAAACAAACCAGTCCTTGATAGGGTTTAACGGGACTTTCAATATCTGTGCAGATAAGTGTAATTTACTCCTAAAGAAGGGGAAAAACCAACCAAGACAGCTTCATGCAATACCTCGAACATAAATCTTGGCAACAATTTTGCTTTAGAAAAATACATATACTTATTTTTAAATCAATACTGTTGTTGCAACAAAACTATTCTGCGTAGAGGTGGAAACACCTCAGACATCAAGGCAATAGGAGTGGTTTCTAAGCGCTCTGATTTCACTCTCAAAACTTTCTGGATGAATTTCATATGGAAACAAAGCTCACCTGCCATCTCCCTGCCATTTCACCTCCTTCCTCTCTCTCTCTCTCTCTCTCTCTTCCTGTAGCCCACAATGGAGGAACGTCCCAACAGCCAGCCACGCAGCTTTCTGTGGGTGCCCTCTGAAAAGGAAGGCGGCAGACAGCACCCTTCCAAACTTTCTCGGCCAGAAAACAAAGCACAGATAACTCAGGCCTTTGAAAGAACCAAGTGCTGTCTGCAGCTTACAGTTGTTTGCCAAAGGTACCCTTAAAAAAATCATTTCAAAACCAATCAGTTTCAACATTGTGAAAATGATTGTTTTCCAGTTGGGGGGGAAATATTTTACTAACTAATTACAATGACTGTATTGACGCTTTGTGTTAAGACAAAAGAGGTTGGCGGTAAGGGAAAACTGAAAACAGTGAACACAGCCAAAATCGCCCCGATTTTGCTTATTTAAAATTAAGTGAGGTTTATTTCTGATATAGTTAATTCATAAACAGCTCAATACTTGCACTATTTGCTATGCAATTATGAAAAGCAGATACAACGCAGAATCTACTGAAAGGCGCTTAAACATTTTTTTTTTAACCTATAAAATTATTGGGTAACGTACATACTGACAACTACTCATGTTTAGAAATAAACTTGCCAATACCAGGTCCGAATTTCAATTGCCTTCCCTTTTAGCCCACGACCCAAAGAAATAGTAAGGTTCCTAGACGCAACGCAATTGACAGTTTGAAATGAGATGAGAGTTACATGTTTGGAGTTTAAATAAGCAACATAAAAAAGAACTCCTCATTAAAAAATAGACGTGTGGTTTGCAGCTCCATGTAATGCCACAGAGGTCAGGATGCCATGTAAGGACCGAGCCAGGTGATGCCCGGCTCACGATAGGATCATGGAGGGCCCTGGGGCCCTGCAGGTGAGAGCGAATGCTTAGTGTCGGACCTCGGTCTTTCCAGTTTAATCTCAGGCTAGATTATGCCTGAGACTGTCATAGGACTCTGGGTGTGGGGCAGTCTGGAGGGAGAGCTAATGAATGGAGTCGGGCTGGGCAGGGCTGGGGTGGGCTAGGAGGGTGACTCAGTAACTGGGAGGAGAACTGAAAAATCACACCTTTTAGTCTCCACATTTTTTCTTTTGTTCAGGACAGAAGGAGAAACCATCCGGAAGGAAGAAAGATTATGACTATCTATAAACTAACTGCTTGACAGAGACAGAAATGCTGATAATGAGTGGGCTGTGTCTGTGGTTCTTGGCCGTTCACGTCGGCAAGGGATGAAGGAAGGCAGAAACTCCTGATGTGTTTGTCTAACGAGGCAGTGCTGTGACCACGGGCAGCAAGAGTTCAGCTGGAGTTCAAGGCAGATGTTGCCAGGAGTTTACGCTGCAGGAAAGTAAAATTGCTTCCGGGTTCACCTTTTCCTCCCAGCTTCGCTTTCCGGATCCTCAGGGTCAGGCTACGCTGTGGCCTAAGGTGACAATGTCCGTGGGGAAAGAGGCTTTGAGCAGGATGCCCCTCTCCCGGTTGCAGTCCAGCTCCTGGATAAATCCATACCAGTAGATGACTAAGCCAGGCCCGAACCTGTGAAACACGAGAAAAGGACACGCATCAATCTGTAATGCCGTTCCAGAAAGAAACAAGTTTTTTTGAGGAATTTCGAAGTATTCATCCAAATAATCAAATGTCTTCATTGTACCCAGCTATTGTTTGAGCTGCTACAGGTATGCCTGAAAGTAGTTAAGTGTATACTGAAAACAGACCGCCCCCCCTCACAAGTTTAATACAAGAATTGCCACCCTGGGTGGATCTGTCCTCTCTTCTTTACCGCATCTTGTAGACGTGGATTCTTCTAGTTTCCTTTCAGCGAGGGCTATGGGCTTGGGCTGATGTGATTACTTAGGTGACGAAAGTGGGAGTGGGGGTGGGGGGCCAAACCACCCAAAGTAGATTCAGTGCTGAGCTTAAAGTCATTTAAATGGGGAAGCATCAGATTTGGGATTTTAGTCTCTTAAAGAAAATGGAAGCCAGGTGGTGTAGTGCATTACAAGTTAGGCTGCTACCTGCAAGGTCCCCAGTTAGACACCACCAGCTGCTCCTCGGGAGACAGATGAGGTGGTGGGCATCATAAAGATGGACAGTCTCGGAAACCCACAGGAGCAGGGCCACTCTGTCCTGCAGGGAGCCCGGCCTCCGGCATCCACTGGAAGGCAGTGCGTTCTAGAGTCCTGAGTAACATTCGAAACCACGCTGGTGCCATTGAGCCCCCTCCGGGGCACCCCGGCGTGTCCGCGTGAGTCTGGGCCCCATAGGTTTGTCACGGCTGACTGCAGTATTTGCAAGTCGACCATCTCCAGGCTTTCCTGCTGAGGCGTCCGAGGGCGAAAGCCAACCTCCAAGTTCTGAGCAGCCCCTGAGCGAGCGAGCAAGGGAGCCACGTACCATTGAAGAACGCCTACCATTCCGCGGCACTGTCTCCCCAATTAACTCGCTTGTTCTGCACATTCTCCAAGAGAGAGAACGTGGGACAAGCGGTGTTTACAACGTGGAACACGTTGAGATACACTTCTGGTTTAATAATCTGTTTACGCGCTCACAGGACCTGGCATTCCTTCTGGATGGTCTTACGAAACCAGACCAAACAATAGCAATGACCCCCCTGCCCCCAAACCTCACATGACTCAGGGGGCTCCCTCAAAGAGACCGTCTCTCATTCTTCACCCTTCAGCCGCACCAGCTCTCTGAGTGTGGACACTGCATGGTATCTGGCTGTAGATTCTTATCATGTGAATGAGGAATAATGAATGGCCCACCGCCTTCTGGACACAGCCGGGCGCAGGCTTGACACCTCAACTCTCCTACACCGTGCTTCTGAACCGTCTCGGATTCCTGTTAGCATGACTGATCCCTGCTAAGCAGGCTCAGGAAGTGGCCCGACTCCTTCGCCCTTCAGGAAGCGGAGACCTTTAGGCTAGGTTCATAAAGATGTAATCACTATCAATCACCATACACAGGGAGATGTTTTGCACATCAGTTTCACGTTTTTCCTACTGAGAGCACTTAATTAAAGGGCAGCACTACTTTTGGTGTAGTGTTGCAGGAATTTTACAGTGAAATCATAAATTATGAATGTTGGGTTAGTAAAAGGATGTCTAAAAACAGAACTGCTTTCTGTACTGGAACATTACAGCAGGCTGCACCATGCGAGGCCAGAGAGCTTGTTTCTTCTGTGATTTATTACATGCTGTGGCGTGCTTGCCAAAGCTAACAGCGGAGGATGGGCTGTGAGATACCGGACGCACAGGGACAAGTTCAACGAGATGTCACGTAGTGGTAGATTTGGGGATCCACTTCAGTGGGGGAGTCAACCTCCACTTGTATTTGAGATTAACTGGAAGTTTTGGGGTACCCTCACACGGAGGGGCAGAAACCTGAGAAAGCCACTCATCAACCCACCTTGCTCTAGGGGATATAGCTGCGTGGGCAGGGTGAGGAGAAGTCCTAGGGCACCAGGCCCCCCCAAAGTTACCTGAACCCAGTACCGGCTCAAAATGCTCCTTTCTTCCTCAGCATGTCCGAGGAAGAGTGGCCCCTGAGGTTGGAAGCATTAAACTACTGTTGCGGGGGTGGTGGTAGGGGTGGGAGCGGGATGTGTGTGTGCGTTTGTGTGTGGATCCAGAGCACAGATGCACACCAGGAATTCATACCTGGATAAGGACTTGTGTCCGTTTAACCCAGGGGTTCTTAATAACTTTTAATCACAATTAGTTGTCTATAACTAGAACACATGATTGCTGTTTGGAATCTGTACGGGCAATACCTGGGTAATAAACGAGATCATTTCTCAGAGTGTCTTTAAACTGAATTTGTATATGACCAGGTGCATGTTCTCATTTAGCCTTACACAGAGCAGTGAAAGGCGCAAAGCCTTTTCAATGATCTGCAAGTTGCATGTGCAGCAAGTGAAAGGTGATGTCAATTTATTGCTAGGAGGGACTGACGCCCTGGTGGTGTGGCGGTGAAGTGTTTGGTTGTTAACCACAACGTCAGCAGCTCAAAACCACCAGCTTCTCCGAGGGAGAAAGATGGGACTTTCTACTCCCATAAAGAGTTAGAGTTTCAGAAACTCGCCAGGGCAGTTTGGCCCTGTCCTGTAGGGCATCTATGAGTCAGAACGGACTCGACGGCAGGGAGTTTCTTATTACTATTTAGGGGTTAGTTCAATCACTTCAAAAAACCAAAGCCAAACTCACTGCCATCTTTCTCCTGTGGAACAGCCGGTGGGTTTGAACTGCTGATCTTATGGTTAACAGCCCAAAGTGTAACCACTATAGAACATCAAAGGGCAAGCATTACTGGTAAGTCGGATCTTCGTAACCTGGGGACTTAGTGTATTTGACAAAGAGCTCGGTGACTGGTACCCAATGGTCCCAGGTTTGTCAGAAGAATGCTGGCAAGAGCGGGAAGACAGGCCCTGTCTGAGGAGCCTCCACCTCCCCATCAGTCAAGCCTCTTTGAGTCATAGCTTGAGAGACATCGCCGCCTGCTCAGCACATTCCTCCCTTTTACTACGCGGCCCTTCTGGAGACCACGGTGTTCTGCAGAAAGGCACCGATATTTTTACAGAGAGAAGGGGGGAAATGTGATCTAACCAGTCACTGAGAAGAACAAAAGAATATATGGGGATCGCAAACAACAAGCCCAGTATTTTAAGGATTTAATAAAACAAAAACACACATCACCAGCACTCAGAGAGCAAGCGCCGCCCGCACTCGCCCTGAACAGCTAAATCATGAGCCGGAGGACATGGAGCAGGGCGGCTCTGTAGGGAAAGGGCATGTTCTAGGCAGAACAGCCAGTCTGGGGGCACTTCGATGCTCCAGACCAGGGGTTCTTAATCCGTGGGTCGTGACCCTTTTGGGGGTCGAACAGCCCTTTCCCAGGGGTCGCCTGATTCATAACAGTAGCAAAATTACAGTGATGAAGTAGCAATAATTTTATGGTGGTGGGGGGGGGTCACCACCACATGAGGAACTGTCTGAAACGGTGGTGGCATCAGGAAGGTTGAGAACCACTAGACAATGGACTTGTTTCCCTTGCGAGGCAACAGGTGAGATGCGCAAGCCGGAGAGTCTTTGGAAGTCCGTGCCCCTGAACATTTCATGCAGTGGTTCACCACCAAGAGCCCCCGCAGGGGCTAAGCAGATCTGTGCAGTAGGTTCCGTCGTCATCCGAACGCTCTTCCGTCGGCTAGTTGCTTAGCCCTGCGGAGGTTTTAAATGAGCTTAGGTGTGTTACACTAGCTCTCTCCTACAGCTCAAAAGTTGGTTGGGACTATGCACTTAATTAACCAAAGGCAAGGGACCACCACTTCCCTGTGAGAATGGAGCACGGTGGACAGAGGCTTTCAGAGCGTGAGGCCTTCATTGACCAAAAGGATAGGGAGTGTTGAGTGCGAAGGGCCCTCTTCCTGACACCAACACTGCCGGGGCCTTTCTGAGAGTGCTCAGACAGCTCAGGGCCTGGAGATAGTCAGATGCTGCCGAGACAGCTTTTCAACAGCATGTCTGCTTTTGTTTTTTTAAATAGGTTGGCCACATTAAGCAACTCGATAGACTCGATCCTTTGATTATCGGAAACAACAGAAGGGCCTGTTTGGGTTGATGATTTGAAAACGAACAAAGCAGGCAGACCCAAACCTGAGCAGCCCAATGGTCGGGACTGCTTCTGCGCGGGATAAAACAGGGAGAAAATAGGACCCCAGCACACTTTATATAGGTCACATCCACCGTTAGGGATTGGGCCATTTCACCCTTTTGACGTCTATTCCCATCGACTGTGGCACCACCGGACACGGAGGAGATCCGCGGGAAGGTAAATATAACCTTTGTTACCAATACAAGCCAGAGGCTCTGGTCACAGGTTTAAGAGGAAACAGTGGACATTCCTGGTTCTAAGAGAACATGTAAAGCACAGGGGTTGATCCGCTAGCTACCCGAACGGCAACGGCGGCCTCCCTGACTGGCCCGGGAACACTCAGTAACAGGATGTCTACCCCGTATCGGAGTTGATTCGGCAAAATACATTTTCCAGATTTGTCACGATGTCAGGGCTACTACGCTCCTGCCAAGTCAAAAGGTCAAGTGGATTGTAAGGGCTCTGGAGGAACAGACTTGGGAATGTGAGTCAGTTTGGAAGAAGTCATTTTGCCTGCATATAAAAAACCGCCAAATTTGGTCAAAAACAACCAACACCCCTTGAAGCCCGGGGAGGTGAAAGTCAAGAGTCATGGCAGACCTGGAGGGTACGGATGATGAAGTTGCTCATAAATCACAAGCACCAAGGTGATGTTCCGAAGGTGATCTTGCGTCTCCTCCCAGTTGAAGGTCTTTAGAGAAATGAAACGGGAGCCCAGGGAACTAAAGCTAGGCATCTTCTGTGGGGTTTGTGCACATCTGCTTCCCAGGGATCCTTCTGTTTGCCAGTTATCTTCTTGTACCATTGGACCACTGGCGGTAAAGGTCATATTTATTTATATTCATGCTCCGGGTCTAGCACAGAGCCTGGCACACAACAGATACGCT